CATTAGAACCGTCTCATCAAGACGAATCGAATGGCGGTAAGATCATCTCTCTACGATTAATATTGGCGAAGTTACGATACAATAAAGTTTTAAGTATAATTCTGGCTAAAATTATGTTAATTTTTGGCCGGAATTATGATATACAAATATAAGAAATATTTTATATAGTCACATCTCTTTATAATCACCAAATATTTTACTTCCAAGATTCAATCTTAATTCCTCTGTTTCAGATATTGATTGGGCTTGTACCAAATCTTGTTTTAATAATAAACAATTACATATTTCCCATCAAAATGGCCGCTCTGAATTTTGTGCTTTTCGTATCAAGATTTTATTGGATATGCTTCCGACACTCACAACTCTTCAGAAAAGAAAGCCTCATATTTATGATCCAAGTTGGCCCTGTCCTCAGTGCAACTCCTCTCCTGAGACTTTAAACCATTTATGGACTTGTCCTTATATTTTACCTGAATTTAGTCCTTTCAATACCTTCAAAACACTTCTGCTGGACCTTAGAACTGTTTGTCTTGAAAAATTTCTTTCTGCGACTCCTTTGAAACCTTTACTGGACTCTTTTGTTGCGGAATTCACGGCTCTTGATTGTTGGGATTGTGACCCTCCTTCACCTTCCTACTTGGGACTCACACGTGGTCTTATACCGATATCCCTTACTGGATTTCTTGGAACTTACTTTTCATCATCTGTTATATGGTCTATTTTAGATACACCTTTACATGACTTTCATTTTGATCTTTATGTTCAAATCTGGTTGTGCTGTTCTGTTTTCTTTCATCATTGGGAATCAGCTCAAGGCATTACTAATAAAATGAAGTCGTCCTCTGTTGGTCCTTCTCCTACTCTTCGCCCTTCCTCACAAATCTCTCCTGATTTTTTGACACCTTCCCTGGCGACAGTTTCCTTGGATTCCTGGGTTTCTTGGGTTTCCTCTTATGTAATCCGTGGGGGATCTTGGATTTCGCATTTGGATTTTTGGCGCCGCTTAACAGTTCAGCCTCTACTTAGGATTTCTTTTTGGTAACGGATCGGATCTTAGGACATGCTGGATAGTTGACTCACACTGGCCTTCGGGTAAAGATGAGGTATGCGTTTCTGTAATAGTTTAGTTTTTCTTTACTTAATTTTATTTTGTTTAGATTTCTTTACTTGTATGAATCGTGAAGCTAGTTTTTTTTATTTTTTATGTTTAATTTTCTATATTTTATTTGTAATATTGTTCGATTTGAGTTTTGTACTTTTCGTTTAAAAATTTATAATAAAAGATAAAGTCATAAGACTGTTTGCTCATAATCACCAAATATGGACTGTCCCAAATATGTGACTATAAAGAGAGTTGACTGTATAGTGTTATCATATCAGAAAACAAGGTGAGGTGGTCTGGGGGTACACTAAATTATGGTTAGACCTATGTGATAGCTGCTGTCCCAGAACCCCCAAATTTGTCCTACTAACATAAGTATGTTTCGGGATTAATTAAAGACATAACCTTAATAGATGTAATGAAAAATTTATAATTGTATCTGTTTAATTAGCTTCATATACATTGTTTATTTGAAATAAAGTCAAGTCTCAACTAATGTTTTTTCGAATATTTGAATAAATTTCGAAGGACAAATTGAAGTGAGAAATAAGTTAAAGAAAAAGAAATCTAATTGAGATTTTTTCATATTGAGTTATTTTAGTAGTAATTTCGAAATCTGTATTGTGTTCGACTGTAACGAACTTCTTAATTACTTGGAGGGTGAATTTGTTCCAGTCCAAACTTTTTTGCATGACGTAATATGCCAAGCGTAGGATAATTTTATAGTGTTTTTTTTTCTTGATATTCTCACGGGTGGTGTCAAAATAAGTATATTAAAGGGCTTTATGGTATGGATACTGTGAGATAGATAAATCAATTTGCAGTTCCCCTATTACGTATCCGACCTGAATCTAGATATAATTATACATCACAATAATTAATTACAATAATTAAATAGTGTATTCGTGAATAATATACATGATTTACTATTGTAAACTTTTATATTAGTTAAGTCTTGACGAAGTTTGTTTATTCAAGGAATAAACTTGTCATGAATTTATTTATTACAGTTCACCCTCACTATAGTGAATCTCATGGGCCGGAGATTAAAATTCGTTATAGTGAAAAATTCACTATACTGTTATTATATATAAAAAAAATCTGTATCTGAATTTTCTTCATTATATAGCAAGTTACTATATAAAATTCACTATAGAAAGGGTGAACTGTATCTAGTTGTGAAAACATATTTTTAATGAAAAAAGCTAGCGTAGATAGATACGATAAAATTATGATTCTAAATATTCCGTTATTTTATCAATACACCACGATCGTATATATGAATTTCAGTTTGTATTTATATATCATCTCTAATCAACTTTTCAATTATATCCATTTCTTAACTTTTCAACTCTATTTAACTATTAATTGAATTATTTCATCTTTATATTATAATTATAGATATCAGATAATGACGACAATTAAATAAATTTTATATAAATATAAGGTCAAATTTTTCTGTAAAAAAAAAATGGAAAAAAACATGGCAAACATAAGATCGACACGTGACAGCTAATCATATTTATTATTTTTTTTTCGGTCTGATCTAGGAACTGAATACCAAAATTGATCGGATTGATTGCAGTCAATCCGATCCGGTCTAGAAATGAACAGGGTTAGAGATATATATTTTATTAGAATATTTTACCAACTAAAACTATTATAGCGACTTCATCATTTCTTTACATATTTTTGTCGTGGATATTGATAGTCTGGTCTCCTAATTGTTTAGGATGATTAAAATTTCAGGATTTTACCATTTTTCGATCTAATTTTCATACGATATATATTATAAATAATAGTTTTAAAATAATAAATTTATTTATAATAAATAATACTAGCCGATATTCTGGACGTTACCCTGGGTTTGTATGGTTAATATTTGTAGTAGCATAACACAATTGAAAATAGGTAGCAATGTAAGATCTTAATTAAATTTATCTTTAAAACAGTTTCTTGTGTTTTACATGAGCTATCTGAACAAACAAATAACAAATAAATAGCATGATAAAATAATCTAAACAGTTTCTATTGAAAGATTTCAGGATACACAACATTACGTGTAACATTTTTGCCATGTCATATAGTAATAAGAATTTCAAATTTTTTCTTGATACCACTCTTGAACAGGCAACATAGAATTGTCCACGAAAAAACACAGGAGTTGAAAGATATAAGCCAACCCAGTTTAATGTTTGCCCGTAAGACTTATTTATGGTCATTACAAATACTACAACGTTTGAAAATGAAAGGTAGATCTGTTTCTGAAGGGGACATCATAATGCGAGGAATGAAAACTCTGATTCCAGGATGATTTTCAGTAATTATTTCAACTTCAATGTCATGCTTTTGAAAAGTGCGGCAAACTAATCTTGTCCCATTACATAGACCATCATTAGGTTGAAGATTACATAATAGTATAATTGGAGTTTCTAATTTCAATATTAACTTATGAGGGGGAAAACCACTAACAGTTAAAGAGTTGAGAAATTCTTGTGGACATTGATTATCTGCTTCCTCAACTGTATCTGCACTGAAATACTCAAATGCTCCTCTAGCAGGAAATTGATTCATAATAATATTGTTGATGGAGTTAACATATTAATTTATAGGAGCAAGTATTTCACGTTCACAAAATACTTGGGATCAGAATACATTGAAAGATCAGGATACACAAAGTTGATTAGGTCATTTAAGTCTTGAGAGTTGAGATGATAAAACAATATCTTCAGGTAGTATAATAATATGATCACTTTCTGTTTTAGAAATTGCAGGAACACGACCTTCTTCAACTTCAAGTAGCCATTTAGCAAATTCAGCTTGCTCAGCAGTATCAGAATTATTAGTAGCATTAAAAAGACACATGTTAATCTTTAGTTTCATTACATTTACATGCTTCCACAAAGTAGATTGACATAACATAATTCAACAATGTCTTCACGTATCAATGTTAAATTCGTTCAAGGTAATGGCTTCTCTTTACAGCAACAGGAAGAATTTGCCGAAAGTTACCTCCAAATAATACAACCTTGCCTCCAAATGGTTTTCCTTCTAAATTTGGATTCAAAACCTTCATAATATCTCTCAAAGTTTGATCTAAAGCTTCAAATGCATATCGATTCATCATTGGGGTTTCATTCCAAATGATTAAACTTGTAAGCGAAGCTAGTTCTGAACTATGAGATATAGAGCAAGTGGAATCTTGCAAATTATATATATTTTTTTATTTGACTCAGTTTTCATTTCTTTATTTAACTTAAACTTCAATTAACTTTATTATGTATGTATTATATTCGTATGAGTATAAAGTTTGAACAAACTATTTACTAATTAAATTAACTGAAAGAACTAAAATTTTTTAATATCTTATGTATCTGATTAGATAACTTGTTCAATCAAATTTTAACGAAATGTATGATTCTCATTTTATTCTTTCATGAAAAGACGCAGATTAACCGCAGCATAAAAGAGATCACATGTTTAAAGCTACACGTGATTATAGTATAACATTAGAGTTACACAGTAGAAATGTTACACAATTGAAAATTATTTATACATTGTACTCTAAACGTGACATCAACAAATTTAAATATAAGAATACAAATTAAAATAAAACAATCAGTATCTGATATTAAATTTCGTTCTAGAATTAGCGCCGGTCTCTTTTTTTTAAAAATAGTGAAATTCGATATGCCGGAACCTCGATATAATGGATCATAAGCAAAATCTTGATATATCGAAGCGGATTGTCATAACGTATAATTAATTTACCTCAATTCTTGATAAAACGGATTTTTGACAAATTTTACTAATGGAACGGATGGTTCCATTATATCGAATTTCACTGTGTAGTTAGTAATTGTTATTTCCCATAATCCCACGAATTTGAAATATGGCCCGCACTGCCTTAAAATGTATATACTCTATAATTTTATCAGAATTAAAGATTTTAAGCTACGCGTATTAATTATATGATACAGTAGTAACTAAAACATAAAAAGAAAAAAATATATCTGCCAAAATAATTTTTTGCGTAACTGACAAATACACAAATATAGTACGCAAACTACTAAAAAAATATATATATTTCAATATCAATATTAAAATTAAAATTCCGATAAATAGGCCGGTACTTTAGCAACTCGTATACTTACCAATTCTTTTAATTATTTTTTAATAACGCTTTTAGTAATATATTTACTATAGTAGATCGGTTTACTGAAATTAATTTGATGAAGTGGTTTGCTGAAATTACTCGTAATAGGTTTACCTTTTGATTGAGTACAAATGTTAGTTCATCAAAAAAAACAACAAGTAAGATTTAATATAAAATTTAGTTAATTACCTTTTAAATGAACCTGAATGTCACCATCTATAAAAGGATCAATATCGAACTTATTTAATAAATTCTCATTAAAATTATCTTTAGTTAAATTGTATCCAAATAAATCCAAAAAATATTCATCACTCCCATTATTATTTTTACAATCAATCTTTAAGCTTTTATAATCTGAACTTAAAATACAAATATGTAAGTCCATACTAATATTCGTTTCTGAAGAATCTTGTTGAACTTCTGATTTGATAGTTGAATTAATTATTTGAAAAGTAATGGAATTACGTGACCATTCAACTAATTTGATGATATTTTTAGATTCATAATCTGTTGTCACGTTAATAAGAATTGAACATTTTTCAGATAAAAGAAAAGGAGTTTTGATACTATAAATTGGTCTAACATGTTGTATTTTAATAGATTCTTTGACACAATTTACTTGTATTTCTCGATTAATTGGACTAAAAATTGATAATTTTAAAGGATTTCCAATAATCATCCATAAAACGTAACATTCACTTATATCTATATTCGTTTCTTCTAATTTTTTTATTATCGCGAAAAATCCGTTAACATCATAAAATCCAAATTTAATAGAAATATTTTTTTGATCTATCTTTGAATTATTTTCTGAAATAATTGTTCCAAATACTTCATAATTTTCATCATTTAACGATGGTTCGATATTTATTTGTTTATAATGTTCACTATCATTATTATTTAAATTTCTCAAGTCTGTTATTCCGGTCATTATAATTTTTAAATTATTTTGATTATTATCGCTTAATATAGCGTCAATTCTCCTTTTTTGTTTTAATTCAAGAATGTCATATAAAGAAATTATTTCGTCCAATTCAATAATTTCTAATTCTTCATCATTTATATTTTGTATTCTATTATATATTTCATCTTCTTTAATAACTTTTCCTTCTTTTGTAATAAAATATGAAATATTTAAATTTTTTGAATATGCATTTAAAGATTCAATCGGTAATTTTAATTTAATCTTTTCAAAATTATTAAAATAATTGGTATTAACAATATTTTTAAAAGATTTTCCAAATATAATTCTTAAAGGAAATAAATGTCCATATTCATCAAATACATTTTGTAATTCATTAAATGGTTTCATACTATTAATTGCTTTTTCTATAGCATTATTAAATTCTTCTGAAGGTTTTATATTATCCTTACTTATTAAAATTTCATATTTTTCACTTTTGACTACAAAATTGATATTTTTCTTATTAAAATCATCATTTTTAATAAATAAAAATGGAAAAGTTCCAATATTCTTATTTGAAAAAATATTATTGGATATAAAAATTTCTTCTAATTTTGTTGTCGCATTTGTAATTTCAAAATAAGAATTATCAATTTCATTAACTTGAGGAATTCCCGTTAAATTGATGGAAATTTTCTTGCTATTTTCTATTTTATGTAATTTATTGATTATGAAACCTTGAAGTAGGTGAAAATCTTTGATCCAACTTATTAATCTACACAAATCTTCTTCAATCCATTCTTCCAAACTTAATCTATCTTCAAAATTAGCAATTCCTGGTTGTCTTTCATTAAAATTATCTACTAGTTGATTTTCATTAACATTATCTATTGTAAGTGTTTCATTAGTTAATTTAGAAATGGGAATAATATTATTATAAGAAATTATTTCAATTATATTATTTTGATATAAATCATTCATCCAATTAGACAATTCTTTGGGAGTTCTTATTTCTTTTCCACTTGACGTTTCTATTCTTGGTAAAAAATGCATTAAATCAAAATGACTACTATTGAATTGAATTCCACTATTGTTTTTCGCTGAATTATACGTTAAAGCTAAATAAAATTTTAAAATATTGATTTGTTTAACTTGACTTGAAAAAACTTTGAAGTTTTTGATAAATAACTGTCCACCAGCTATAAAATTTTTCGCAAAAATATGTCCATGTTCTTCATTTGTTGAAAAAGATTCCAATAAATCAGCTTTATAAGTGATTTCAACGACCGGAAAATTAATACATAAATCTAATTGTTTTAAAGCTTCATTAAATCCAATTTTATTGTTAAATGAAAGTAAATTTGACTTATCAGGTTCATTTATATTTGTATAAACAATAGGTTCTCCTTTATATACGTTTATATCTAATTCACCATCCTCACCAAGAACAGGTTCTTTACTTGGTTGTATACTAGATCCATCTAAAGATAAACCACGATTTAAATTCCAATGTTGTATTATTTGTTGTTGAGTTTCTATTTTTTCAATAATGATTGTTTGAAATAAATAATAATTAATAATGGGTATTTGATTATATAAATTACTAAACAAATAAATTATGCTACTTACCAATTTCCTCTTCTTCAGATTTCAGAATTGATAATTCATCTAATTTTTTTCTCGCTCTATCATAACCTTTATTTGCAGATTTTTTATACCACTCTTTAGCTTTTGTAAAATCCTTATTTGTACCAAAACCTTCATCAAAACAAACAGCAACATTATATTGAGCGATAATATTATCCATGTTAGCAGCTTTAAAATACAAATTAAAGGCCCTTCTCTTATCAATAAAAGTTCCGATTCCTTCTGAATAACAATAACCTAACATATTTAAACCAAAAGAAAATCCGCCTTTGGTACTTAAATCATAATAATAAAAAGCTCTATTATAATGTTTATCAACTCCAAATTGAAAAAAATTTCCCATATAATATTGTGCAATTGCATGTCCATTATGTGCTGCCTGCCGATACCAATAAAAGGCGTTCGACTTATTCTCTTTAGTTCCTATTCCATATTCGTAACAAATTCCAAAATAATATTGAGCAGTTGAATGTTGATAAGGTGGTGATGATGCCTTCTCAAAATATTTAAATGCAGCATCAGGATTTAACGTTGTGCCTATTCCTGAAAAATTCAAATATCCTAAAAAAAATATATAATTTGGATCTACTATTTCGTTATATCCTACATTATGTATATAATTTAAATCAGTTGCTGGGTTATTATTTAACCATTCGTAAACTTCTTCAAAGGTGATATTATTTTTTAATAAATAATTATCGAGGACTGGACGACGCTGATCACGAGTTTTTCCTTCATTTGTTATATCAATGAACAAATCTATAATCATACTAATTTTATCTGAAATTTTTAGATCTACCGTATCTGAAGTAAGATCTGAATCAGAAATTTGTAGATCTAGTAGATCTGATAAAAAAAAAATAAATTTTATTAATAAATATTAGAATACATTTTAAAATTTTAAGATATAAATAATTTACCTTCATCAAAAAATTTGTAATTTATATCATCTTTATCTTTACTTGATTTATGGTTTTGATCATTTTCTGGAATTAATGCCTTTAATATTTGAGCTACTTGTCCAATATGCGGTCTCTTATATGGATCACCATCCCAACATTCTAAACAAATTATATAATAGCAGTCACTATTTTAGCAAGTGATTTTTACGTTCAAAATAAAAGTAAATTAAATTTTTACTTACTTGAATAAAGACGAAGATAACCCACTGGTGTATTTGGAATATGTGCTTCTCTAAGACCATCTAGAATTTGTAAAGCCAATTCATTATCGTATGGTCTACCATGAAATGGAGGTTGGCCACTATATATTTCCCATAGTAACACGCCAACACTATAAACGTCGCTCCTTTCATCTAAATAGTACACTGAATCATTTAACTCGGATTTTAAATTATTAAACATTACGGGATCCATATAAGGAATTACACCAATTATATTTAATGGATCATTAGATTCTTTGATTATTTTTGATAATCCAAAATCAGCTATTTTGATTTTACGTCGATTAATCAATATATTATTAGAATGCTATTGTTAAATAGAATAATTAATACTAAAATAAGTAGAATAATATTTCTTTTAAATAAGATTTAATTATAAAAATTACCAGATCACGATGCACGATTCCTTCATCATGCAGACACGAAACAGCACTAGCTAACTGATACGCCAACTTAATTTTCTTATTCCAGGTAAGGGTATTCTTTTCCAAATAATCTCGAAGATTTCCATCTACAGCACATTCCATCACCATCACGTAATCTTTATTTGTGAAAAAGTGTTTATGAGTTATTACATTAAATTAAAAAATAATTAATCTTATTATTACCTTCATTCCAAATAGAAATTCCCAAGAATCGTATAATATTTTCATGAAAATCGACTTTACGTTGTAATTTAAGCTTATCAAAAAAATGTGAAAAAAAATTAATTCATTTACGCAGAAAAAAAAAACAACTATGAACGCATAAAAATAAATGCAGGTACACAAAATTATATTTAATAGATAGATAAATACCTCATTAATAATTTCTTTAAAAGCTATATTTTGTTGACCTTTATTTTTAAATGCCTTCAATGCAAAAACTTTTTCAGTATGTTTCCATTTTGCTCGATATACATCACTAAATGCACCAGAACCAATTAGTTTAATTTTATCAAATTGTTCATATTCATAGTATTTTATATGATCATTTTTAATAGCTTCATTGAGCCAATTGATCCATTCCTTTTCAATAGGATTATTTGTTTGCTTCACAAGTATAGACATTTTATGAAACAGAAGGTTGTTTTAGGTTTAGAGAACTGTTTAGAGATACGCACGGAAAACTTACTGATGACTTATAATTGATAATCACGTGTTCGCACAAATTCGTCACGTTACAATTGTTGAATTTGTTGATCATTTCGGATCCCAATCTGGTGACACATAATCTTGCTAATAGACGTAGATGATTAAAGGACTTTAGATTAAAGGTATGTTATGGCCGGTTTGAAGTAAGTCGTACTTCATTTTCCAGGTCTTATTGTGGAACAGGGTTTTGGTAGTTCTTCGTTGAATAATTAAAAGGTAATACCGATTTCCTGAAAAAACTTGTCAATTGATTACCTATTATTTGTTAAACGTATGTAAGAATAATAAAAAAAGAAAGAAACCAAAATTTTGTAACCTCCTGAATATAAGAAGTATATTCTAGACGAATCACATTTTGTCAAATTTATCACTTTGGGTACTTTTGTGAATCTATAATCCTTGAATAACAGGCTTATTTAATTACCTGCCCTCGTTGGTTTGAAAAATCTACAAATTCTTTTGATTTTATTACATTGATTAAAGAACTAAATTTGTTCAACTCAAATGGTTTAGTAAGTTAAACTTCGAAAATTGGCCTGTAAACTGAAATTCGCATTATTTCCAAAGTAAGCAGGCCTGATGCAACTTTTTGTTTTACACAATAATTGATAAAACTTATAGATAAAAATATCGGAACTTTACGCGGAACACTTTTACATTATTGATGAAATGGAACCAAATTAACACTGGTGTTCATATTTGCGATAAATGTTATTTGTAATATTAGATTTATTAGATCCATAGTGATCGAACAGTTGGGCCATATATTAAAGAGCTGTTTCACAATTTCTTATATTCCTTAAAAGTAGGTTGAGTCTAATCGGAAATCGGTACATTAATAAGTTATATAGAAATTAAGTTACACGTACGTTGATTCCATTTCGTGAACTTATTTCCTCTTAAATTTCTTTTTATTTCTATTCAATGCATAAAAATTATAAAAAAAAAAGAATTAGAATAATTGATAGTATATTATTAGAACTACTTGATAATGCTAGGCATATTCCAATAGATCGAGTTGCTGTTATTCACTGATATTGACTAAGTAAATATAAACAAATCTTGTTACGAGCTGAAACAAGAAGAGTAAACTGATAATATTTTAAGTTATTATAATTGACCACATTTACCATATTTTAAGAATCTGGATTAAAATATCACAACTGTAACACTGCTGTAATCGGATGAGTATCTCTTTAATAAATTTTAAGAAAATTTTTTCATAGTCTTGTTTACTATTTGTATAAATGATGTTATTAAGTATGATGATAATTGATAAGTATTAAGGCTTAATTTCAATAGTACACGCTAAATGAACAATTATCTTTGATCATTTAATTTTAACTTTAGTATTAACAATTAGATCATTTTCCTTGATGATTGGTTAAAGAGTCGATACAACTTTCTGGATATTTGGACGTTCATTTGTTTCAAATTTTCAACATTCTAAAAAAAAATTAAATATAATCTAATATAGCTACTAAGGCGACACAAAGTGGTAAAAATGGTTTTCATAGTCCGGCCGGGTTAGTTTTGTTAAGTCTTAAAAAAAAATTTTTTATATTATTACTATGCCGGGTGAGAATTTTTTAAAAATTGAAAAAAAATTTCGCATATAAAATTTTTGAAAAAAAAAATTAAAAGCCGGGTTGCCGGGTTATTGATGAAATTTTTATATTATGAAAACCATAAAATCAAGTTTGTATGGCCTAAAGGCTAAACTTACATCATAAATTACCATCATTTGCATTTATTGTGCTTTTTACATAAAATGGTTTATGACTACTTGAAATTTGCATATAAACCACATAAGAAAACCAAATCTAAACTTTTTATTTTGGATTTTAAACTATTCGTTCGTATACATCATATTAATATATGAACCCACGAAAGTGATGAAACTTACTTCCAAATTCGTCATTCAGTCTCATTCTTGTGCTATTCAGAGTTTGAGTTCTGAGTCCTGAGTCTATTGTTCAAAAAGAAGTTAACCAATAAAAATGATGATTTTTCGGGTTAGGGAAATTTTTAGTTAAAATGATTTTTTACATATAATTATAGTAATAACTAACATTACAGTTTTGAGGTTTGAAAAAATGGTAAAACCAAGAAGTGAATGAACAATATCACATACAAATATTGCTTAATTTGACTCTTAATAACAATTGACAGTTTCTCGAATATATGGAGTATATAGCAGTATTTCCATTATCAGTTCAGATCATATGTTTCAAAAGAATTTTTGTGGACAAAAGAACTGCTTTACGAGAGAATATTTAAAGCATTTTTTTGCTGAAAACCTTTATATCCAAAATTAAGGATTTAAAAATTTATGAAAAAGAAATTTATCCATTCTATGCGGTATACCGGCTGATTAGAAAAATAAATTTTGTACTTTGAAATAAAAAAATACTTCCATAATACAATAAACAACGCGAAGTACAATGGTATTAAAAATTATAATAGATTTTTGGTAGATACAATTTCATGCAATTTATATCATATTAAATATAATTAGTATTTTTTTTTGTTTTCCAAAGTTTTTAACATGTAGTAAAGTTGTAAGAGGTTGTAAGGGTATAGAACTTCAATTACTTTTTTCATCGCGGAGTGCGGAGTGCAAAAAATAATATGAATTACTCTCATTCGCACAAGAGTTCGGCCTAGTTCTTCGATCCAGGTAGAAACCGTTATCCGGATAAATTAAAAAAATTATCCGGTTTTTATCCGGATTATCCAGTTCAGATATAAATCCGGATATATCCAGATAGAAACCGAAACCCAGATAAGATTATGTATAAAAATTTTTTTCATTGATCGATCTTAACAAATAATATCAGTGTCATTAACTTAATTAAATTTTAACTTAATATTTTTAACTAAATTAGTAATATTTTATTAGGCACTACGAATTTTGACTGAATTATGTCAATTTTTTGAAAATTTGAGAAACGTAAAATTTTGCAATAAATACATTATTATAAATATAAAAAACACACTAAAATCGTAAAATAATGAAAGATTAGGCATAAACTAATTATTTTTATTATATTTATATACTATTTTGTAACTTAAAATTAATCAATTCAACCTTTCTATTAGTAAAAATTTTTTTTTTAAAATCATGGATCGAGGGTCAAACATATAATGGCGGCCAAAATTACAAAAATCCCAAATTTTGTTTAGCTGGGTCGGATACTGCTGCCTCTTGACAAATATCAAACAATTTCGCAAAATTCGGGCTGGCATCATAGATGGCCTGAATTACTGCCGACCATCGAATGTTCTACTAGTAATTTTAGTAAGATAGATGGTAATTTAATAGATAATAATTTCAATAAATAAGCAATTTAAATGATTAAAAAAAATTTTTTATAATTTTTTTTATTCGGATAATGGGTCAAACTGAATATTTCTATCCGGATATTTATCCAGATAAAACTGCGGTATCTGGATAACTATTTTTTTTTTCGGATATCCAGATACCGCGGTTTTATCTGTGCACGGATCGAAGCACTAGTTCGGCCAAGATCTCCTTTCAATATTTTACGACGCAGAGGAACCCAAGTGCGTTGTAAATTTGTAATACAATTCATAGAAGTCAGAATATTACGTTCAGGCAAAACATGATATAAGTTTTTGTAGCATTCTTAATAGTAAATATTTTAATTTAGTATCATTAGAATCACTTTTGTCAAAACTTTATTTTGATACAATTACAAATTATTTTTTTGGAAATGAATATTATTCTACAAAATAGACAATTTAGCTAAATTTATTAGATTATACTTAAATAGAGCTTTTAGTATAATTTCGCTTGATTGGAACTGATAATCTACACACAACATTTTGCTTATTGGTCAATTCCGTAGATCGGCCCATATGTGGAATTTAAGATGAAACTGATCTTTTTATACCATCCAAATGTAGTTAATGCGTAAAACCACTTAATTCCTTTTTTTGGGAAATGATCATTTATTTACACATTGTACACATTATGTGCTATGTGCTCGCTTGATATTTTCTTTTTTTTTTTTAAAAAAAAAGAGTGCAAATTTTAATAAAATGAGCAAGAGTTTGACCTTTAAAGATAATCTTTTTACAGCAGTTGGAATTAAAGTCCGAAAGGATGGATTGGATTCTGGATATGTTCGTTTGAAGTGTGGAGAGAATTTATCAAATATTCGTCAAGAACTTGAAAAATATTCGTTAATAAATGATACATTATTATTTGCAAAAGGTACATCTGAAATACATAGGAGAAGTGAAAGGGATTTTCTTATAGACAGTATTATAGAAGGAAAAGATGATGATTATAAATTTATAAATTTAAAAAAAAATCCATCCCATGATTACGATTTGAATATTTTGAAGGTTGACCTTCAACTAGAGCACGGACGTAAAATAATTTCTGATGGTAAAATTAAAATAGCCAAAAAGAATGCCTTTATACTTGATGTGGCAGATTTTGAGGTATGTAAAGAAAAAGGAATTGGAACAGAAAGAAAAGAATTTAATTCAAGTGAATATAATAAATCGATAACAGAATTAACTTTAAATGGTGGTATTAATGCACAAGGCTTTGCAAAATTTGGATTATCATATGGAAAATCGAAAAATGTTACGTCTGGAGTTGAAAAGATAACAATTTGTCATTATATTCACGTTGATAAAATTTCCTTAAAATTTAAATCTGATGAAAAACTTTGTTTTGAACCAACTGAGGAATTTAAAGATGAAATAGACAATGCTATAAGAATTGATAAGCATAAAGATAGACTTGATAAATTTAAAGAAATCACCGAAAATTTTGGCCAATTTATTTCAAATGAAGTTTTGTTAGGTGGAAGAGCTTATTTTCTAGGAGAAGAAAATTTAGGGAAATTTTCCGAAGAAAAAAACAAAAATGTTTCTACTACTGTAGAAGCTATGTCTTCAAATGCCGAAATGACACACACTTCTGGAAAGTTAACTGAAAATGCTAATTATTCTAAAAAGGAATGTTTTGAACTTATTGGAGGTAAATCTGATAACCTTAATAATTTTAATGAAAGTAATTGGATTCAATCTTTAGATAATTTTAAAAATTGGGATTGTACAGAATATAAAAAACCTGTTAGCATTTTCCGACCTTTATCTTATGAATTACGTGAAAAAATCTTCAAATCTATTGGAAAAAGAATTCTTTATAATGATCCAGGAGAAGATTATTTTTGTAAGCCAAATGAAAGAAATGTTTTTGTATTAAAAAATATACCAACATATATAGCAGATATTATTAAAAATAAAGATGCCGAGTGCAATATTTTTGCTACTGTTATTGATACTGATAATTCAAGAAATGATTTCTTTAATTGCCAAATCCTTTGGACACCGAATAAGAATCCAAAACTCATAATTCATTGTATTCAACATTCCCTTTATTCCGTTTTTAAAAAATCTTATAACCTTAAAATCGGACTGATGGTTGTTGGTTATGATATAAATTTCGATTTCATTAATTCAGATTCTAATATTCACTTTGAAGTAATAGAAAATAAAATTGGGGCATCAAAATCAATGTATTGTAAAAAACTTTTTGATGATTCATTTACTGAAGAATACAAAGAATACGAAGAACATATTTGTTTAGGAATTCCAGTACTAAGTGAATTGAAACCTTCTCATAAATTTCTTGTCATTGGTCATCATTTTTCCAATTATCAAGAGAATAATAGAATTGGGACATACACATTTTCTTATTGTTTGAAGAAAAATCATTATGTTGAATTACCAGAATTTACTTTTCATACGCTCATTATCTCAAACTATCATAATTTTGATGAATATAATGAATATCCTTCAAATCAAGTAATACCAAAATATACTAGTTTACATTCTAGCGAAGATAATTGGGCTCCAATTTTCCTGAAACAAAAGCAGGATGAAATTAAAATAAAATATATGAAATGTAAAGGAAATTGTAAAGATACTTGTACATGTATTTGTAAAAAAACATTAAAAGATGATCATAAGTTGCATTCTTTGATAATTCTCGAGGTATTTGAATTTACGTACTTTATTAACTTATTATTATAATAATTAAATTTTATTCATAATTTTTTTTTTATTAGACTCAACATGAAAATAATTGGAAAATATTAAGAGCGTAATTAAAAATACAATTACTTTTTTTTGAATGATTTAATTATACTCTCACGAAAACGTATTAAAATTGTCGTCGAAAAGTCACGTGAAATTCAGATCTTCCGTCACCGTAATTTCAGTTTCGTCTCAAGTATATTTATTTATTTATTTAAAAATTGATATAAAGGTATATTATAACAAAAAGATTATGTATCTCTTGAATAACAAAAGGGAACTGTATAGCGTTTATAAAAAGTAAAATCTGCTTTACAAATATAAATCTCGGATACGTTTATTTAAAAATACAGTAATATATGGTACTGAAAATATCAACCAACATACTAGCCAACATAATATTCTGGCAAGTGACAAATAACAAATATGTTATGTAATCTGCCAAAAAAATTTATTTAAATTAAAATTTATACTTAACAGGTAAATAATATTTCATCACAATATACAATACTTACCAATTTATAATTCCACTAATAAGTTTACTGTTAAGTGGTTTACTGAAATTAAGTTGATGAAGTGGTTTATTAAAATTATTCGTAATAGGTTTACCTTTTAATTGAATATAATGTTAGTTCGTAGTTGGTTAATAAAATTTAATAAAATTTAACACAAACTAAATTAATCAATTACCATTTAAATGAACATAAAGGTCGTCATCTATATAAGAATCAATATCAAATTTGTCCTCATTAAAATTATCTTTAGTTAAAATATATTCAAATAAATTGAAAGAATATTCATCAACTCCGTTATCTTCATCTTTACAATCAATCTGTAAACTTTTATAACGTGAATATAAAATATAAATATTTAAATCCATATTAATATTTTCTTGTTGAGCTTCTGTTAAATTAACTATTTGAAAAGTAATAGAATTACGTGTCCATTCAAATAATTTGATGATATTTTTAAATTCATAATCTGTTGTCGCATCAATAAGAATGGAACATCCTTCAGATAAAAGAAATGGTGTTATAACATTATAGTTTTGTTTATTAGGTTGTATAACAATAGATTCTTTGATACAATTTACTTGTATTTCTCGGTTAATTGGACTAAAAATTGATAATTCTAAAGGATTCCCAATAATCATCCATAAAACGTAACATTCATTTATATCAGTTTCTATTTTTTCTGAATTTTTTATTGTCGCGAAAAATCCATCAACATCATATAATCCAAAATTTATAGAAATATTTTTTTGATCTAACTTCTCTAACTTCGAATTCTTTCTTCTAACAATTGTTCCAAATACTTCATAATTTTCATTTTCCATTGGTGGTTCTATACTTATTTGTTTATAATGTTCACTATCTTCATCATTTAAATCTTTCAAGTTTGTTATTCCGGTCATTAAAATTTTTAAATTATCTCGATTATTATTGTTTAATACAATATCAATTTTCCTTTTTTGTTCCAATTCAAGAATATCATATAAAGAAATTATTTCATCTAATTCAATAATTTCCAAATCATCATCTTCGGTGTTAATATTTTTAATCATTTTAACTAAACCATCCTCTTGAATAATATTTCCATCTTGTGTAACAAAATATGAAATATTCAAATTTTTCGAATAATATTCTAAAGATTTAATTGGTAATTTTAATTTAATCTTCTCAAAATCATCAAATAAAGTGGTAGTAGCAATTTGACTTTTAAAAGATTTTCCCAATTTAATTTTTAGAGGAAATAATTGCCCATATTCATTAAATACATTTTGTAATTCATTAAATGGTTTCATACTCTTAAGTGCTTTTTCTATGGCATTATGAAATTCTTCAGGATATTTTATATTATCCTTACTTATTAAAACTTCATATTTTTCACATTTGACTACTAGATTGATGTTATTCTCATTACTAAAATCATCAGGTTTAACAAATAAAAAAGGAAAAGATTCGATATTTTTATTTGAACATATATTGTTTGATATTAAAATTTCTTCAAGTCTTGTTGTTGGATTTGTAATTTCAAAATAAGAATTATCAAATTTATTAACTCTAGGAATTCCAACTAAATTAATGGAAATTTTCTTACTATTTTCTATTTTATGTAATTTATTAATTACGAAACCTTGAAGTAGATGAAAATCTTCGATCCATCTTATTAATCTAAATGACTCTTCTTCAATCCACTTTTTCAACTTTAATTTATTTTCGTAATTAGCAATTCCTGGTTGTCTTCCATTAATATTATCTACTAGTTGATTTTCATTAACATTATCTACTGTAAGTGTTTTATTAGTTAATTTAGAAATAGGAATAATATTATTATAAGAAATTATTTCAATAGTATTATTTTGATATAAATCATTCATCCAATTAGCTAATTCTTTAGGAGTTTTTATTTCTTTCCCACTTGACGTTTCTATTCTTGGCAAAAAAGTACGTATCAGGTCAAAATAATCATACTTAATTCCATTAATATTTTTAGCTGAATTATATGCTAAAGCTAAATAAAATTTTAAAATGTCAACTTGTTGGACATGCTTTGGAAAATCTTTGAAACTTTTGATAAATAACTGCCCACCAGCTATAAATTTTTTCGCAATAATGTGACCATATTCTTCATCCGCTGAAAAAGATTTCACAAAATCAGCTTTATAAGTGATTTCAGCGACTGGAAAATTAATACACAAATCTAATTGTTTTAAACTATCATTAAATTCAGTTTTACTGTTAAAATCAAGCAAATTTGACTTTTCAGGATTATTTATATTTGTATAAACAATAGGTTCTCCTTTACATACACTTATATCTAAATTACCATTTTCATCAAGAACAGGTTTTTTACTTGGTTGTATACTAGACCCATCTAAAAATAAGCCATAATTTAAATTCCAGTGTTGTATTATTTTTTGTTTAGTTTCTATTATTTAACAATGATTTATTTGATGATTTATAAAAAAAAATAGTTAATAAATGGATATTTGATTGTAAATTGTTAAATAAATAAATGGTACTTACCAATTTCTTTTTCTTCGGATTCCAAAAGTGACAATCCAGCCAATTTTATTCTCGCTCTATCATAACCATTACTTGCAGATTTTTTATACCATTCTATAGCTTTTTCAATATCCTCATCTGTACCAATACCTTCATAAAAACAAACCGCAACATTATATTGAGCGGTACAATTATCCATATTGGCAGCTTTAAAATATAAATTAAAAGCCGTACTTTTGTCAACAAAAGTCCCAATTCCTTTTGAATAACAATAGCCTAACATATTTAAACCAAAAGAAAATCCGCCGTTGGCACTTAACTGATAGTTCTTAAAAGCTTTATTATATTGTTTATCAACTCCAAACTGAAAATAATTTCCTATATAATATTGTGCAATTGCATGTCCATTATGCGCTGCTTGACGATACCAATAAAATGCATTCGACTTCTTCTCTTTAGTTCCTATTCCATACTCGTAACAAATTCCTAAATAATATTGAGCAGCTGGATGTTGATATGATGATGCTTTCTTAAAATATTTAAATGCATCATCAGAATTTAGTGTTGTGTCTATTCCTGAATAATTCAAATATCCTAAAAAAAATAAATGATTTGGATCTACTATATCGATTGTTGAATTATTATTTAACCATTCGTTAAATTCTTCTAAGGTGACGTTATATGTCAACAAACAATTTTTAAGAACTGGACGACGCTGATCACGAGTTTTTCCTTCATTCGTTATATTTATGAATGACATTATAATCATACTAATTTTATCTGAAATTTTCAGATCAACTATAAAATCATTAGGAACGTGTAGGTCTAGAAAGCCTGGATCTGGAAGGTTTAGAAGGTCTGAATATGGAAAGCCTAGAAGATCTAATGAAAAAAAATCATTAACAAAAGTTACATACTTTAGAATACATTTTAAAATTTATTTAATTTACCTTCATCAATTAATTTATATTCTATATTATCATTATCATCTTCTTTTTCTGAAATCATTCCTTTTAATACTTGAACTACTTCTCCAATATGCGGTCTCTTATATGGATCACCGTCCCAACATTCTAAACAAATTATATAAAAGAGTCATTATTTTAGCAACCTTTATATGCAATATAAAAATAAATTAAATTATTATTTACTTGAATAAAGATGAAGATAATCAACTGGTGTATTTGGAATATGTGCTTCTCTAAGACCATCTAGAATTTGTAAAGCCAGTTCTTTATCGTATGATTTCCCATGAAATGGAGGTTGACCACTATATATTTCCCATAATAATACGCCAACACTATAAACGTCGCTCTTTTCATCTAATGAATATACTGAATCATTTAGACCGGATCTTAAAAATAAATTATTGAACATTATTGGATCCAAATAAGGAATTACACCAATTATATTTAATGACTCATTAGATTCTTCTATCCTTTTTGATAATCCAAAATCAGCTATTTTGACTTTACGTTGATTAACCAATATATTATTGGAATGCTATTATAAAAATAGAACGAAAGATTTAATTGGTATTATAAAGTAAATACATAAGGTACAATATTAAATTGTAAATTACCAAATCACAATGAATAATTCCTTCATCATGCAGACACAAAACAGCACTAGCTAACTGATATGCCAAGTTAATTTTATCATGCCAGGCAAGAATGTGATTTTCCAAATAATTTCGAAGATGCCCGTCAACGGCACATTCCAGTACCATCACGTAATCTTTATTTAGCGAGTTTTATGAGCTATTACATTGAAATTAAATAATTATCAATATTATTTTTACCTTCATTTCGATTAGAAATTCCTAAGAATCGGATAATATTTTCATGAAAATCGACTTTACGTAGTAATTTAAACTTATAAAAAAAATAGAAAGAAAAATTAATTCATTCACACAAACAAAAGAAAAAATTTTTTTTTTTTTGATAAATTCACTTGTACAAAACAATCTTTGATAGAAATTTAATTACCTCATGAATAATTTCCTTTAACGTTATGTCTTTCCGCTCTTTATTTTTAAATGCCTTCAAAGCAAAAACTTTTTCGGTATTTTTCCACTTCGCCCGATATACATCACTATACGCACCAGAACCGATTGTTCTAATTTTACTAAAATGTTCATAATCATAATATTTTATATGTTCATTTTTAATGGCTTCATCGAGCCAATTAATCCATTCCTTTTCGTTAGGATTATTTGTTTGCTTCACAAATTCGGACATTTTGTAGAAACAGAAAGTTGTTTTATCTCGCACGAACTTCAAAAAAGCTCGGGCATGTGATTTTGTGTGGCTTAAATTTATATTTATGCATGATTGGATGCTAAACATTTTTGCTTAGTATCGAACAAGGTTATCATAGAAAAATTTCGAGGGCTTATCATTTCTTTTTTGTGTAACATGTCCCGGACATTGTCCCGTGACAACACTGCGGCCAGTGACAGAGACCCGGATTTATTCCGATATTAAATCGCAAATTTTTATCACGATAACGAAAAAAATTCCGATTTTATTCCGATAAAAAATTACCAATTATAGTAAGAAACATTTGATAATTCTAGCCGGCCTACATCTTAATGCAGGCCAACTTAGGTTGCGCTAGTGACACGACAATAATTTTTAGTCAAAAACTGTATAAATATTGCAAAATTGCAAAATCACATTTTTTAGTTAGACTTCTATCACGATATAGTCAATAAAATATGCAATAATGATTGGCTAGTTGTCACGTGCCAGAATAAAATTGTTAAAAATCCGTTTTATTCCATAATACAGCAAAAATTCTGATTTATTCATTTATTATAAAAATGGAATTTTCCCAGGGTCTCTGGCCAGTGATCTACCCCAGTATTACCACCAAATTTTTTACCCCCACGTGACTCTGTGGCGCAACTCATTTACACGTCACAAAACTAAGAATTTTTTTATTAACAAAATTTTTTCTTTTTTTCTTTTTTTTTTAATGTTAAGCAAAATTAAATGCAATTTATATAATGTAATTATATAATAACATGTAAAATTTCTCTCTTTTAAATAAAGTTATTTGACAAAAAAAATGGTTTTTATAGAAACATAGTGTTCAGACTTCACGATTTCAAAATTCCTTTAAACTTTATTACAAAAAAAAACCTTTATCTTTTATTGTATAACCACATTTTCACTGAATAAATAAATTAAGAAACAATTAATTTACAAATAATCTTTAATATTGTAGTTTCTATAATAAAATACACAATAAATAAATAAATATTACCTTATTGCTAGCATTAATTAAAAAACAAAGTGTTATGTGAATGATCTTTAAATCGTGGCATTGTTCTTTTTCGTTTGTAAAATGTAATTTTGGATAGCATTTTCTCAATTGGCTTAAAATTCTTCTCAACACCTTTTACCCATTTAAAGTTTCTTTTACTTTATTGATCTCTAAAAATCTCTAGCGATCTTTCCATAACATCTATAAGATGATCGTACAATTCCTCATAAACGTATGTATTTTCATCTTCAATAATTTCAATATTAGTCACTATTGGCAAAGAAAGTTGTGTACAAACTTGTGAAAAAGAAGTATCGATAAAAGGATACTGGTAATGACAATGAACATTATCAAAAAACTGATTGTCTACTGCTTCTTTTTGCTGCACAAGATGTTTGCAAATAAAAAAATGACTCGTCAAAAATGCAAAGCATCCACAAACCCAATTGTTAATATCCATTGAATATGTATTATGATTAATTGTGCGTTTTGAAAGTTCTTTCCACTCTCTTTTAAATGCCTTTCGCCATTATGCCTTTTCACGTCCTGCTTAAAAAAATTTGTTCAAATTTCTTTGTTAAAGTGGAATTAATTGTTCCATTATGACAAACACTACCAAATCCAAGCGTGGGTGAAAGAATTTGTATAAAAAATCACGTTTTAGTACCTTCCAATGAGCCTCAACAAACATATTTGTTTTAAAAATTGAAAGTTTATCATTACATCCTGCTCTTAACCATAAATACCAACGTTCAGCATTATACCACTCATTCCATAAGTAAACCCAAAGCTATGGTAAAGAATTTTGTTTACAAAAGTTGTAAATTTCCTCTACAGCATTTGTCCAAATTTGGATAGATGAATGAAATTCTCCATTAACTGTTGGAATAAGAGGATGTCAGTGAAGATGATCATTCATCATATTCCACACTAATGAACGTAATTCTTTTGGACAAAAAATTGTTTTTTCTTTAATTATAGGTCGAAATAAAGGGTCAATAAAGGAAAATAATTGATGTGCTGCTTCGCCATTATAATTAATTTGTTGGAGTTTTTTGTTACTTCCTAACTTTGCTTTTACAGCTTTTTTTATGTGCCAGAGGCACAATTGTATCTTAATATTTTTCCATACAAACTGCGCTGCAGAGATTTGTGTGAAATCCTTATCAGTTATAAAGAACTCAGGCTCAAGTCCAAATGTTATTAATTTTAATAAAAAATCAATAATAACACCTATACGAATACCATTTCCACAGTTCCCATTATTTTCTAAAAACAAATATGATAACGGAAAACCCATGCCATCTACTTCTGCATGAACCACATATAGTTCAAATTTCAGATTGTTTGTGTTATCTAAAATTAGTAATAGGAGTATAATAGGTAAATAAAGTTATATACTAAATAAATGCTAATTAAAATTTCATTTTTTTAATTAAATTAATGATATTTACATGTCGCATCAACACCAATTTCACTTACTTTAAATTGAGAATTTTTCAATATATTCCAAAAGTTAGTTAAAAATCCAAAAGCCTTTAGATTATCTTTTTGAAATATTATATGATATGACTTTTCTTTAAGCCACTTTTGTGCTGAAGAAAAAGAGTCATTATCGCGTTTATATCTTTTTTTGCCTATTTCAGACCACCAAAAATGAACTTGCTTTTGTCGAATATTAATATCTAAACCTTGTTCAACAAGTCGTTTATAAATTTCATACGGTAATAAATCTATATTATCCAATATAAATTGTTTAATTTCTGGTGAAATTGAAGTATCTGCTTTTTTTGGATGTAAATGATGTTTTATTTCTATATTAGATGATGCAAGATCTTCAAAAATAGTAATCTTAATGCAGCCGTTACAAGTATAACGATGTATTGATTGCCTATCACAATGTTTTTGAGAATCTGGATATTTTTTTATTTTTCCTGTCTCTTATACACATTGAGATGTGTATAAGAGACAGGTTTTTTTTATTTTTTTGGCCAAACCTTCCCATTGAGAACAACGATAAAAATAAGTTATTGACTTTGACTTGTTTTCATACATGTGATGATATCTTAGATTGTTTAAACCAAAAATAAATATGTTTGAAAATTGGTTTATTGTAAAATAAATAAATTAAATTAAAAATCTATTGCATTTAAAATAAAATTGCCTTACATCCATACATAATCATCTATATCTGATATCATTTTTATAATGTGGTTAGCCCTATCCTTTGAATTTCCTTCTAACGTAACAATATTTATAGTACAAGAAAACGCAAGCTCTTGATTTCCTATATTTTCTTGATTTTCAGATTCTTCTTTTTCAAATGCATTAAGAATCTCTGGTAAAAATTTATATAATTCGTTTAATTCAATTGATATTTGGTTACCAGTTTTGGCATTTGTCTATTGTTTACGTTATTGATAAGCTTTTTTGCCTTGTTCGTAACATGTAATACAATATTTGTATGATTTTTTACTAGTAATAAACACGCTTAAAGGAAGATTTCTCTCGCACCCTTTGCAGTATTGATATTCATTACCAATATTATTATTAGTTCTAAAAGGTTCCATATTACCGTTACCTATAAATGAAAGAAAAATAAAATTACTAAAAAAAATTACCAAAAAACAAACTTGGAAATATGGCTTTCAAGCCAAATAAAATTTGGATAAAATTCTATAATATGATTTCTATTTAAAACACAATGTACTACTACAATAAACTTTATTTAAAATATGAAAAAAAAAAGATTTTCTGTGTACACATTTTCTTAACTTTTAGCAATTAAACAAAATTATATTCATCTTATGTGGTAAACTTTCATATTTCTACTTACTAATATAGTGTTTTCTTTCTCTTAATTGCAAAGAAAAAAAGCTTGAGAAAAAATTTTTCTTTAAACGAAATATGGAATAAAATAAAAATATACGTGTTACAAAATAATTGTATTGGCATATACATAAGCTATAAAACAAATAACAACGTCATCATAAAATACGTGGAGGTAAAAAATTTGGTAGCAATACTGGAAAAGATGCGGCCAGTGGCACCGACAAATTTTTCGCAATCACGTGATCGAATTTTGAGGATCATTTCCAAAAATGGCAAGCAAATTTTAACGAAAAAATTTTTTCTTTTTATTTTTTAAATAAAGTTTATTCCAGACATTATCTCATTTTAAAATTCATATTTTATGCCTAATTTTTCTTGTTCTGCAAGTTTACTTAGGCGATAAAGGTAGATTTTGGATACAAATTTTTGTAAAATTAATTATTTACAAATCATTATATAAAAAGTCAAAAACCATATCTAAAACCTACTTTTATTATCTAAGTAAACTTGTAAAGTGAGCAAAATACACATTTTTTTGTAAATTTAAAAAATGTATTTTTATTTTTTATTTTTTCATTAAAATTAACCTAATCATTTTAAGAATGATCTGTAAAATCGATCACGTGATCGTGAAAAATTTGTCAATACCATTGGAGTAGTTAAAAAAAATTTAAGTTAAAGATTTCTTTTTAATGTAAAGCTTTCAAATTTACATATTAAATGTATTTTCATCAGTTTTACAATATTCACTTATAAATGAAATTATAGAAAGAGATTTTGGAAATAGATTTTGACTTTAGTATATAACAACTAATTTTATTGTTTTTGCTGATCATTTCCAAAATTAAATTTATCAAAAAAACAGTTTTATTAAATAACTCAAAAATGGCCTTCTAAACCATCTATATATCCTCTAAGTAAATTTGCAGAATGGACAAAAATACATCTAATACAGAAATTTAAAGGTTTTATTTTAAATAAAAAAATTGCAATTTAATTTTTTTGGAAAAATCGCTACATCACACTGCGTCGTCAACCTGACATACATTTCAGGTTTCTTGTCTTCCAGCTTTATCTTGTATCAAATTTGTCTAGAGAGGTAAGAGGTTCAGAAAGCCATTTTCTATAAAAAAAAACATTTAATAAACATTTTTAACAAAAATATTAAAAAATAAAAAATATAATATTAAAAAATAAAAATATTAAAAAAATATTAAAAAATCAGCTTAATCTTGGTAGTACTTTAATACATTTCGTTTTGAAAGGCATTTTAACTCCAAGAAGCCAGTGTACCCACTAGTCGAAATAAGGCAAATCGGAAGTAAGGCAAATTGGCCAAATTTCGGCCAAATTTCGGATAAATTTCGGATATGATCGATAATCGGCTGACATTCGGCATAGCTGATTTGCGATGCAAAATTCCGATTTCGGATATGATCGATAATCGGCTGCATATCAGATGACATTCGGCATAGCCGATTTGTGGTGCAAAATTCCGATATTTGTTTCAAATTCCGATGTTTGCGCATTATAATATTTCGACATTCCGATAATTATATTATATGTAAATTTGACATTTAATAATTCCGATATTTGTATTGTATTGTTTTAACATTTAATAAATTTCGATATTTGCATTATTTGAAATTTGTATTATTTTGAAATTTAATAAATTCCGATATTTTTATTATTTGAAATTATATGTCATTTCATCAAAATAAAGTTTGAAAAAGATACTAATTTCAGCGAATATGAAATTTTCTATTGACTGGATTTACCGCTAAATAGACGTTTGAACTTCTCCTGCCTGAAATTCAGTATTTAGTTGGTATAAATCGGCCAAGAATATGATGAACTGGAATAATACAGTCACGGGATTCTGGGTAAAACTCAGTACCACATAATTCAACATTGCATATTTCGTCATCTCTAACTCTGAAATGATACCGAATATTTGATGATTCTGCAGGTTTATACCAGCGAATAAATGCTAGATTATGTTCAGATAACCCATCTGGCAAATTAACGGCATGTGTAAAAAAGTATTGGACTTGTCCAGGATAGCAATCGATATCACCACTTTCTGTCATAAATTTTGCTAAGATAAATAAGCTTTTTACATGACGTGATGATATCGAAGAGCCAAATATTTCAGAACCAATTCGGCACCTTCCAAATTGATTCATTTTAACTTGAACTATTATCGAATCTTCTGCACCCTCTCCAAACGGTTTCCGAAATTCCATCATTTCGTAGCTCGCTATGTAGTATTCAACTATTAAGTCAAGCATATTACTTGACATTACAATATCGTTAAATACTGGTCTGAGCATTTTGCCCAGAAATGCTTCTTTTCCTGTGATGGTTGATTTATGAATGTTTCTTGAAGTCAACCAAAATCGCCTCATTTCATCAGCAGAAAATTGGTCGGCTTCTGATAGAGAGCCAACAGATGGTCTATTACTAATCAAATCTAGGCCCTTTGATTCCACGCCGGAATTAATGATATTACTGATTTGATTATCAAACATCAGGCGGAGCATAATTTCTGGTTCAATTTTCCTTCTGCTATTCAGAAAAGAGCCTAAATTTATTTTAAACAAAAGTTGATAAAAATGCATTATTTTAGAAAGTAACAAGAATATTTAAAATATTATACCTAGCATGCCATTCATGCGCTCAAAGGAAAAATACCAGAATGTATATAAAGGTCCATAGTCGAGTGAGCATTCACATAAGTGAAGTGATAAATGTAAATTCGGTGTGATTTTATCACGACCGTAATTTTCTTCTATCAACTTCACTAGGTTAATTAGCATCTGATGCGCCTCTATAATGAAATCGACTTCTACAATTCGACTTACTGAAATTGAACAAATTCTCACAAAATTCAAGAGAATATTCTGGTCATTCTCAGAAAGATGTTACCAGAGAGAGACCGTTGCATATATTGTAAAAAATATTCGCCATTGATCAGCAGTAAAATTTGAAAAAACATCTCCACAATCGACTTTTCCCGGGATTCGACCCAAGTCAGCTGGAACTTTAAATTCATCCATTTTTTTCTGAACTGTTTTCAAAATATGTGTTGTTAATACGCCATTTTCGATCCAAAGTCTTCTTACAATCCATTTTGCGATGCCCAGAAACAAGCAGTGCATCGGGTCGATTGTAATGAACCGAATTGGATCGAAATATGGTAGACGCAATAATTCAGACCATCTAACTCCAGTTTGCTTTACAAATCGTTTTCTTGCTGCGTCTGAATTACAGCGTCTCCATCCTATAGCATCTTGACGATGTTGAGCAGAATCACGGCAAGTAAACCATTCGTCCATTTCATTTATCCCAGCGAAATTATGCTGCCAATTTTCATAATTCGCCTTCTTTTCGCATCTATGACACGACACCAAAGCGGAAATATGTCCGCAAATTTTTCTTGCAGCCGGTATGTCACATGAAACAAGAATCAGAGCTGCGCGAATTCTTTTCCCTTCTTGACATTCATACGTTTGATTTAATGTCACTCCTTCCCAAAGTAACTTCAACTCATCAATGATTGGCGCCAGATAGTGATTAATCTTATGTAAACTTACTTCATCTGGGCAGGGTAATAAGCCAAGAATCAAGATATTATTGCGCTTGAATCTGACATCCCTCGGAAGGTTACCGATTGCAGCGTATATTACTCCGGTGCTGTGGATTGTGCCGTCGAAGGGTTGAAACCAATCCAAATTCAAAATCAATCTGAGGTGCAAATCAGCAACATCAGATCGGAAAAAATTATTCGAACTTTCATATGTCGTTTCTTTAAAAGTTTTCCAAACTTCACCATCGTATATATCAGTTAGGATATTATCGAAAGTTGGACAATTTATCCAATGCCTTAGAGAATTTTCAAAGTTAGGTTGACGATACATTGCTTCCAATTGCTGCTTAATACTCACAAACGGAAATAATAATTCAGGTTTGATTGAAATTTGGTTATTTAACAATGTTGTTTTCTGTGCCAAAGGTGTTTGGCACAACCTTAATCTTCTAGTTGTCGAATTAGGAAATTCGACATGGCAACACTTCATGATGGCAGGTTGCTCATTTTGGAGAAAACTTTTTATTTCCTGTTTGTTGTATAATTTGTGGCATTTGGAACACGCCACAAAACTATGAAACCGGTCTTCAAGATTAAGGGCTTTTCTTGCTAGATATAAAGTTTCAGGAAATGTGTCAAAATCAGGACTACCGATTTCTGTTAGAACAAGCTTCAAGAATTTTATCAATGATTCTGTAGCTGTTTCTGGTAAGTTAAACCTGGTTCGGAAGCTCATGATCCATAATAATATCCATAAGAACCGATTATTTATTGATTGTTCAGTATCAGAATCTTGAAATGGTTCGAAAGGTGGACATGAATAATCTTCAAAAATTTCGTGGTATTCGTCATCATTGGATGGTTCATTATCGGATGATTCATTTCTATCATCGATATTTGCATCTTCCTCCGTAGTATATTCAGAAGATTCAGAAGATTTATCATCTACTGTATCTCCTAATTCAGCAATTATAACCGGTCGAACATATTTTCTTGATCGTTGTCTACTAGGCAATTCAGCTTCTGATTCTCTCATTCGTGGTTCATCTGATATTGAGGCACTTTCGTATGGTTCGTCACTAGGCAATTCAGCTTCATCAGTTAGATGTACTTCTGTTCTTTCTGAATCATCATCCTTTGAATCTTGGTTAATTTCATGGATAGTTTTCGTACGAGGATCTACTAATCGTCCATTACATTCAGAACAATTACATGCAACTAACCTTCCAATACGTGATGATGTAGGATAAGATTGATTTGAAGATTCTTCGTCAATTATATTTGACACTGATCTGGTTTTTTGTATATGTGATGAAGGTATGGCATGAGGTCTAGAATCTGATTCTTCATTGAGTATACTTGATAATGATCTTTTTCTCGTCATTTTTGTGAACGTTTTTCGAAATAAAGTTAATTGTTAATAATATATCAATAATATCAATATAATTCGTTTAAAATACTTAAATTAGAATAAAATCATCAACTGCGTCGATGTAATACTAAATTTATTAAAATCATCAATCTACACTTAAATTATAAATATAAATCATTCGATTAATAATATTGATAATAAAATAGACTATTCGATCGNAATTATATTAAATTTATTAAAATCATCAACTATCACTTAAATTATAAATATTACATGATGTCGATTTGCGTTCAAATCGTTCGATTAATAATATTAATAATAAAATAGACTATTCGATCAGTATGATGGCGAAAGTTTCTTAAAGTTTAATTTTTTAAATAAAACTTCATTTTTTCTCACCAACCTTTTCTTTTTAGAGTTTTAACGTTTAATACTCTTCGCAACCAAAAAAAAAATAAAAAAATAATGAGCCAAAATTCGCAACCAAAAAAAATAATGATCCAAAATAGAAAAAATAAAAATACTGAAAAATGTTTGGCTAGTGATAATCGAAATAAAACGATTACTAACATCAATAAAAGTTCATCCAATATCCAACAAGCTGTTGAAAGGACTGCCACCCCAATTCATGAGTGAGCTCAAACTACTAACATCAATAAAAGTTCGTCCAATATCCAACAAGCTGTTGAAGGAACTGCCACCCCAATTTATGAGCGAGCTCAAACTACTAACATCAATAAAAATTCGTCCAATACTCAACAACCATCTGCTGCGCCAAGTCATGAACGAGCTCAAAGTGTAAAAGAGAGATATAAAAATCTTCGGCTTCCGGATTCGTCTAATACTCAACCACCATCTACTGCGCCAAGTCATGAACGAGTCCAAAGTGCAAAAGAGAGATATAAAATCTTCGGCTTCCGGTCAGATATCAAACTAATGAACCTACCCGCGATGATGATGATGCATTAACAGGTCTGTATCGTGTATATATCATCAGTTAGATTTAGTATTTTTTTTTTTGTTGATTTTACATTTTTATACAGAGAATCGGAGGTTATCTCAAGAAGTATCTGATTTGCGTGCGAAGTGTTTACAGTTAGAACGACGAAATAATGAATTAACCAAACATACAGCTGTCGTTGCCACTGAAATAGCTCGCTTACGAGAAGATAACGAATTTCTTGCTGGTGTTAACGCAGAATTCAGTTCTGAAAATGACGACTTGAAAGAAGAGGTTAACGAATTAAAAACAAAACTCGAACAATACCAGATACGATCATCATCTGAAAGCCTTGATGTTATTGATGTTCCAGAAGAACGGTTAGCAAAACGGTTCAAATCAGATGGGTCAAAAAAAGTAAAGAAGATGGTACACTACGCCGAAAATCAACCAAAAGAAGAACAAGAAGAACAACATGAAAAGGAGGCGAGGGTTTGTAATTTTATAATTTTAGGCAGAATTGTACAGTCTTTATACTTTTATACTAATTGTTCCGATTTAAAGATTGAAATGAAAATGATCTTCAAAACTATTAAACCTAATGACAATTTGGATGATAACGAAACGTTTAATAGTACAAAAAATGTTGAAATTCGCAGTAGATTAATTCCCGAACTTCAAAGGGCGATGTTTCCGAATTATAAACCTTCAGTAGCACAATTGACGAACTGGTTGAGCATCCTCCATAAGTCACGAAGATCACAAACACAACTGAAAAAAAGTGGAAAAAGTGACGAGAACAGTCGCAGAGTTCACAATAACAGTCGCGTACAAAATGTAAAATTGTCGAATTTTTTCCTTTATCATCATGTTAATGATTTATGCTAATTTTCTTATATATTTATCATTTAAGAAAAAATTGCGTCGAATTAAGGCTGCAAAGGATCTTTATAGGAAAAGTGACGAAAGAATAATTGGTTATGAAAAACGCCAATTATTAAAAATGTTGGCAAATCGATCTTACCACTCACCGGAAATCAGTGAGTCAGATGAAGAGAATCCAGATAAGACGATCGTATGCGTCTATGATTATTCTTGGCGATCACAAGAGGTTTATACTTCGATATTTATTATACTTCGATATTTATACTTCGATATTTATACTTCGATATTTATTATACTTCGATATTTATACTTTGATATATCACTCGTTCCTTTCTTTATTTTGTATTTATTTTATTTATATTGTCTTTTTTAGCTAAAAAATTTACTTCGAAACATCATCGACTCACATTCGGCAGATATTTAAATGGCAAAATTACAATGACCTCGCCAGTATGATGATGAAGTTCAACACTTCGACCGAATGCACCCTGAAGATGCTCCACAATGGTCATATGTCGAGTAAGAGGATTTTATATATGATACGGAAATCGATAGTAGAAGTGGTTTCGAAGAAGATGAAGACTATGGTGAAGAAACGGAAGAGGTGTTAATCGATAGTCAAAAAAGTGCAGCCGGTGATGATTTAGCTGAATGAAGTGGGACTATCGATTACATTTATTTTAAATTTTTTTTTTTCATGTATTATTCGTAAATATTTCTGATAATTAATATATAACGATAATAAATTTAAATCGAATTTTCTATATATAATAATTTTCCGAATTTAGTATGATTTAGTTCTGATTTATGTCCGATTTAAATTTCGAAGTACATCTGATTGACTGTCCGAATTTAGTATGATTTAGTTCTGATTTATGTCCGATTTAAGTTCTGAAGTACATCTGATTGGCAGTCAATCGGATAACAATCGGAATATATTTTTTTTGTAAAAATCAGACATATTTCAGTCGTAATTTGACCTAAAATCGGATATCTGATTTTTAGCCGATTTGCCTTATTTCGACTAGTGACCTACATCAGCAAATTTAATCAGGTATAATAATATTACATAATAAGTTTACGATATCTATAAATTTACAGAGTATTACAACGTACAGTAAATAATATACGTTAAACTTCTGGAATATTATAGCATATACTTTTGCAAGTTTTACATACCATAATCATTATTAGCATATACTTTTGCAAGTTTTACATATCGTAATCATTATGAAATATTACACTTGAAATCTTTTACAAGTTTTATGTACTATGTACCATAATTGTTATAAAATATTACACTCAAAATCCTTTAAAAATTTATTGACCATAATCATTATGAAATATTATGCTTAAAATTTTTTACAAGTTTTATGTACCATAATCATTATGAAGTATTACGCTTAAAATCCTTCACAAGTTTTACATACTATAATCATTACAAAATATTATGCTTGAAATTCTTCACAAGTTTTATGTACTATAATCATTATAAAGTATTATACTCAAAATCCTTTACAAATTTTACATACCGTAATCATTATGAAATATTATGCTTAAAATTCTTTACAAGTTTTATGTATAGTATTCTGAACGGATCAAATCAGATCAGATTTAAGATGAATCCGATCCGATCCGAATTCGGATCAAAAAAAATTGGATTTGATCCGATCTGAATTCGGATCAAAAATAATTGGATCTGATCCGATCCGAATCCGAAATGAACTTGATTCGATTCGGTCTGAATCCAATTCAGATAAAACTGATCCGATCTGAATCTGATCTGAATCAGAAATTAAAAAAACGTTTTGCAACGTTTTTTTAAAGATTTATTTAATAAAAACCGTTGTGAAATGGTTTATATAACTAAAGAAAACCATTTCACAACGGTTTTTTAACGATTTTAATAAAAACAGTTGCGAAATGGTTTATTTAACTAAAAAACCATTTCGCAACAGTTTTTAAGTTGTTTTATTATAAACCGTTGCAAAACGGTTTATTTAACCAAAAAAACCATTTCGCAACGGTTTTTTAAGTTGTTTTGTTATAAACCGTTGTGAAATGGTTTATTTAACCAAAAAAAACTGTTTCGCAACAGTTTTTTAAGTTGTTTTGTTATAAACCGTTGCGAAACGGTTTATTTAACCAAAAAAAACCGTTTCGCAATAGTTTTCTAAATTCTTTTATTATAAACCATTGCGAAATGGTTTATTTAACTAAAAAAACTGTTTTGCAACAGTTTTTTAAGTTGTTTAATTATAAACTATTGCGAAACGGTTTATTTAACTAAAAAAAACTGTTTCGCAACAGTTTTTTAAATTGTTTTATTATAAACCGTTGCAAAACGGTTTATTTTAGCTAAAAAAAACCGTTTCGCAACAGTTTTTAATTGTCTTAATAAAAAATGTTGTGCGAAACATTTTTATTTTCTAAGATTCGGATCCGATCCAGATCTGATCCAAATCCATTTGAATCTAATTCGATCTGATCCGATTTGAGTGAATAGCTGATCCGATCCGATTCGATCCGAAACAGATCAAATTTTTTTGATTCGGATCGGATCACAGATCATAAAAAATCTGATCTGATCTGATCCGTTTCGGATCAGATCCGCGAATACGAATCAGATCAGATTTTTTTCGGAACACTATTTATGTACCATAATTATTATAAAATATTATACTTGAAATCCTTTGCAAGTTTTACATACTGTAATCGTTATGAAGTATTACATTTAAAATCCTTTACAAGTTTTATATACTATAATAGTTATGAAATATTATGCTTAAAATTCTTCACAAGTTTTACGTATCATAATCATTATGAAGTATTACACTTGAAATCCTTCACAAGTTTTACATACCATAATTATTACAAAGTATTACACTCACAAGTTTTATGTATCGTAATCATTATGAAGTATTATGCTTAAAATCTTTCGCAAGTTTTACATAGTACTCTGAATGAGTCAAATCGAGTCAAGTTATATGTAAATTTGATTCAACTCATATTAAATCGAGTTGAGTCACGATTCAAGTTAAGTTAGCCAGTCAAATTGAATTAAGCCAAATTGAGTTAAATTACGTGATTTACTTTTGATTGGTTATGCCAATCATTTTCTTTTTTGATGATAGCATTTCATAAAATTCCATTTTTGTAAATTTCAAAAAAAAAATTCTGCCTCAAATTTTATGTAACATAACTTTCAAAAAAGGAAATTTCATAATTTTGACTGAAATTATAAGTTAATTTGACTAAGATCCCGGATATCTAATATAAAGGTCATAATGGACTTTTGGCCAAAAACACCCCTTTTTGCTAAAACTCAAAAAATCGTTTTTTGTAAATATCTCAGCATCCAGTAATTCAATTTTAATGAACTTTTTTTATTTTGTAGCCCTCATTTAGCTCTACAATTTAAAAAAAAGTTCATCAAAATTGGACCACTGGATGTCGAGATATTTACAAAAAATGATTTTTTGAGCCCCCTGAAAAATGGGTCAATCTGCCGAAAGTGTGACTTATGACCTGTTTTGGAGATATCCGGGGTCCTATTTGACTTAATTCGATTTGACTTGATTTTATTAAATTATTATTAATCCTAGTAGAAATGTGTATACTTATTTTATACTTATTTTACACTTATTTTATATTAAAATTTCTATATATTATAAGATTAATTTAATACAGTCAACTTTCTTTATAATCACACATTTGGGATAGTCCATATCTAGTGATTATTTTACAAGTGTTTTGTAAGTTTAGTGGCCACTACTTTCCGCACCCTCTATTGAAAGCTATGGAGGTAGGTTGTTCATTGCATCATCCTCACTAAGCCATGATGTAACCATCCCCGCCACCTTTTAACAGGGACAATTCAACACCACAACCGAAACGCAAGGACATATTCCAGGGACCCGAAGGCCTTCGAATCTGCTGAACACCACCCTACTCGTCCTTTAATCCGTTGCATGATACTTGTAATGGTTACTATTATAAACCCCTCACCACTACTACTGTCACGGAGGACTTTCGTCAGATAACCTTCAAACATCTAGACCCCTTTCATACCACCATATTAGGTACCAGGTCTCACTCAAAGACCACTACAGCCCACGATTACCTACCACCGATAGTACAGTTGTAATCCCCAAGTGGTATACTTTGTAGTGACCACCTGGACAGTAAGCTTGTAGGTGTTACCTAGGATCATCCCTTATGGTGGGTATCAACCACCAGGAATCACCAACCAGGGCCCATCAGAGAAGGGAATCGAACCCAATCACCAAGCTATCTGTCTGTGCACGAACACCTTGGGTGGTCTGTGACCTNTGGTCTGTGACCTAACAGAAGGTCAAACTACCACTAAGACATTGCACCCTCAGCTTTACCATCTAGGACGACCATCTAGCCATTACTGACCCCAAGTGGTATCGTAGAGTGACCAATATCTAGTGATTATAAAAAGATGTAATTATATAAAAAATTTCTTATATTTGTATATCATAATTCTGGCCAAAAATTAACATAATTTTGGTTAAAATTATACTTAAAACTTTATTGTATCATAACTCCACCAATATTAATCATAAAGAGATAATCTTACTGCCATTCAATTCGTCTTAATGAGATAGTTCTAATGGTATAAAATACATCAAAATCCAATCACTAGATTAATTTCCAAAATTAAAAAATATTAATGGTTTTTGTATAATAACTCTGCCAATATTGATCCTAAGAAGACGATCTTACTACTATTCAATTCGTCTTGATGAGATAAATCTAATTGTATAAGATACATCAAAATCCAATCACTAGATCAATTTCCAAAATTAAAAAATATTAAATAGTTTTTAAGCAATAATTCCGTCAATATTGATCACAGAGAGATAAGCTTATAACCATTCGATTCGCCTTGATGAGGCGATTCTAATGAGCTATTAATCTGATATTTAAAAAACACTGCAATCACATGGGCGTTATGTTTAGATACCCACATAAATAACTATTTACAAATTGTGTAACCGCAGTGTGTGACACACATAACGCAATAACATCGATCTTAATAGTAATAATAAAGGCAGTTACGCGGTTTTAAATTAACTTTATTACCTTTCCCTTTCTTCAACAACGAAAAAAAAGAAGTAAAAAAAAGAACCCACCACGCATACCTAAATGGAAAGAGAGTAGAGGTTAAAACGAACGAAAAACAAATAAAACAAACAAAATAAACAAAAAATGAAAATAAGTTGCACCTTAGAGCTGAAGAGCCGAGATCTAAATGGAGAGAATAAAGGTAAGAACGAGTAAAAAGTGAAACAAAACAAATAACACAAATAAAACTAAATAAAAAATGTACCTTAGGGTCGAAGAGCTGAAAGAACCGGGACCTAAATGGAAAGGGTAAAGGTTAGAATGAATGAAAAATGAAATAAAGCAAACAAAAAATGAAAACAAGTCGCACCTTAGAGCCAAAGAGCCAGGACCTAAATGGAGAGAGTAAAGGTAAGAACGAGCGAAAAGCGAAACAAAACAAACAATACAAACAAAGCTAAACAAAAAATGTACCTTAGGGTCGAAGAGCTGAAAGAACCAGAACCTAAATGGAGAGGGTAAAGGTTAGAACGAATGAAAAATGAAACAAAACAAAGCAGAACAAGCAAAAACAAAGAAAGACTTACCTGGAATTTTGCATTAAAAAGAGGACTGACCTAAAGAAAAAAAATGAAAAAGGTTAGCAACCTTTAATTAAAGGAAAATGAAAGAAAGAGGGCTCTACCTACCTGGAATCCGATGCTGAAAAGAGGACCGACCTAAAGAAAAAAAAATGAAAGAGGTTAGAAACTTCTAACTTCTAACGAAAGAGAAATTGAAAGAAAGAGAAAATATGAACCTGATAGAAGAATACCAAATACCGACCTACAAAAAAGAAAAGAATTCTGAAGGCGTCATCCTACAAGAAAGAGAATACCGAACTGACCTACAAAAAAGAAAAGAACTCTATAGAAGAATGCTGAATACCGACCTACAAAAAAAGAAAGAATCTCAAAAAAAGCTTGCGCCGCGTCGTGATTTTGCATGGTGCAACTTTTGTTTTTTTTTTCTTTAGAGACTGAGCACTGCTAGGTTTGCCCGCTTTTCAGGATTTTACCCCTTCCACGCATTCTTTTGTCTTTCTTGCAACTTAACTTTCTGAGTCTAGCTTTTATAAAAGCAAGCTGTCTTGACTTCGAACTTGGACTTCAGCTTTCGGCTTTAAAGTAAGTATTCACGTTATTTTTTATTTTTATTTTTTTTTGATTTGAAAATGCTACTAATGTTCCTTTTCCTTTCTTTTTCTTTAGGAATAAACTTGGATATTACCGGACACTAGATTTCGGCTTTAGGGCAAGTATTTGCAATTGTTTTTTTGTTTGTTTTTGTTTTTTTTTTTTGATTTAGAAACACTACTAACGTTCCTTTTCCTTTCTTTTTCTTTAGGAATGAACTTGGATATTACTGGACTCAAGATTTCGNTTACTGGACTCAAGATTTCAGTTTTGGAGTGAGTTTTGTGTTGTTTGTTGTTTCTTTTTTTTTGATTTGGAACACTACTAATGTTTCTTTTCTTTCTTTTTCTTTAGGGACGGACTTGAACTCCAGATTTTGGCTTTGAAGTGAGTATTTGCATTTGTTTTTTTGTTTCTTTTTTGGTTTTTTTTTAATTTGAGAACACTACTAACATTTCTGATCTGATCTTTGATTTTTGCATTTTTATTGATCTTTACACAGGTCGAATGATGTCAAATCGGCTATCAATAAGCCATCAATCGGATATCTGATTGATACCTGATTTATTCAATCAGATGGCTGATTGATAGTTGATTTCCGCCAAAATCTGTCACAAGTCAGATATCCAATTGATATACGATTGGTGCCCGATTTGATAACATGATTGATAGTTGATTGGTCAATGATTAATGACAGGTTGTAATTTGATTTATAACCTAATCACACTATTTTATTAGGCCGATTGATAACCTATTGATGACTGATTTTTTACAATGGCTCAATGGCTCGGTACTATTAATTACAATTTTACTAAAAACAATAGTTTTTTATACTACACTTAATCACTAATAATCAGCCTATATGTTATTGTATTAATTTATAATAATAATATAATCAAAAATCTAAATTGTACAGCCGATATTTTTTAAATAAAATTTATTATTTCAAAAATTTCAAAACAAGATCAATATCAATGTCATAATAGACATAAATTATATTGCTATCAATTGAAGGGTGTATTAGAAGTGAAACATATTCGTTTCTGATTGCTGGAGAGTTTAAAATAAAGATTTGACAATGTTAAATTATCTTTAAACAAACAAGTTGTTAGAAATAAATCGGAATGAAAATTCTTGCTCTAACAAAAGTTCGTGTCAGTTTCTGATGCTGAAAGCAGAAATAAAACTTATGTCGGTAGGAGTGAAAGTCAGTACGCATTCGTTTCTGACTTTGAAAATCTTGTGCAATACGCTGCGAATACTATAGCCAATTCTACAAAATTTGAATAAAGGCGTATATTAATCAATAAATCAACGCAACAGCTCAAAACTTGCTAAAGACTACATTTTCAGGTTTGTCATAAGTCGAAATTCCGATTGTTGAAAGCAGGTGAAAGCAGGTGCTAATTTGTTTGAAGACCATGTTTTAATTAAAATGAAGATCAGGTTGAAAATTTACTTACTGCAATCAAATTTATGTCTGTAGAATTGTAATAAGTC